ATTCCCGGGGCGTAGGGCAATACTGGACTCTGCTCTGTGACTCTGTTGCCTCTGTGCTCTCTCTGCTTTGTGCTAACCCTGGAGAGCAGGCTCAGAAGAGGAGGTACAGCCCAGGAAACCAGGTACTGGCTCCTGTTGGGTTCTCCTGGGCTCAGGGCCAAGGAATTCACTTCTCCAAGCTCCAGAAATCCCTGTGGGAGCCAGGAGAGACTGCATGCATGGAAATGTGCTCCCACCCTGAGCCCTGGGGCTGAGCCTGAGGGATGGAGTTGGGGTCGTGTTGGTGTCTCATGGAGCAGATCCTTGGGGGTGAAGGAGTTTGAGGTCCACAGAGATGGAGCAGGATCGTGCCAGTGTCTTGCTGGGGCAGATTCTTGGGGATGAAGGAGTTTGGGGTCCTTGGGGATGGAGAAGGGTCATATTGAGGAGATTCTTGGGAGTGAAGGAGTCTGGGCTCAGGGATGGAAGGGGATTGTGTTGAGCAGATTTTTGGGGCGTGAAGGTGTTTGGGGTCTGTGGGGATGGAGCAGAATCATGTTGGTATCTTGTTGAGGCAGATTCTTGAGGGTGAAGGAGTTTGAGGTCCATGAAGCCATCGTGGCTCCTGATTTTGGAGATAAACCAAGCTTCAGAGACGTGTGGTAGACCAACACCTCACTCCTCCTTCCCCCTGGTAGCGTGTGTTCCCCTACATCTCGGCCATGGTGAACAATGGTTCCCTCACCTACGACCACGACCGAGACGGGCGTCCCACCGAGCTGGGAGGCTGCACGGCCATGGTGCGCAACCTCAACCACGACACCTTCCTGGTCATCCGCTACGTCAAGAGGAGGCTGACGGTGAGTGGGGCTCAGGGAGCTCCTCCACAGGAGCAGCATTGAGGTTGGAAAAGACCTCTGAAGTCATCGAGTCCAACTTGTCTGTTAAACCTCTCCCGCACAGAGTCAACGTCATTTCGGTTGGAGAAGATTTCCGAGGTCATTGAGTCCAATCTGTGACCCATGAACATCTTGTCAACTAGAACAGAGCACTAAGTGCCATGTCTGGTCTTTCCTTAAACATCTCCAGGGATGGTGGCTCCACCACCACCCTGGGCAGCACATTCCAATGCCTGACAACCCTTCCCATGGAAAAATTCCTCCTGATGTCCAAACTTCCACCTCCCCTGGCACAGCCTGAGGCTGTTTCCCTGGGAGCTGAGCCTGGCTGCACCTCCTGGCAGGGAGTTGTAGAGAGTAGAAGGTTCTCCAGGTTGAGCCCCCACAGCTCCCTCAGCCTTTCCTCACAGGACTTCTACTCCAGCCCCTTCCCCAGCTCCATTCCCTTCTCCATCTTGCAGTGAGGTGCCCAGAACTGGACACAGCTCTCAGAGTGTGACCTCCCCAGTGCCCAGGACAGGAGGAGGATCCCTACCCTGGCCCTGCTGACCACACTGTTGCTGGTTTTCTGTGGCAGGTGCTGATTGACATCGATGGGAAGCACGAGTGGAGAGACTGCATTGACGTGCCGGGCGTGCGCCTGCCCCGAGGGTACTACTTTGGGACCTCCTCTGTCACTGGAGACCTCTCAGGTATTGCCCCAGGGTGGGGTGGGTGACTGTGGGTGTGTGCAGGTGCAGCTCAGCACCTGCAGGGACTTCCAGCAGCACGTGAGGACCTTGCCATGCTTTAAGAGCCCTTGAGCTCTGAGCAGGAGCTTTGGTTTGGATCTTCCAAGCCTGGTTTGGGTCCTGAGGGTTTGTCTAGACAGCATTTCCCCTTGAGCTTCCTTTTGTATCCCTACCCTCAGCCTGGGAGGAGTAAAACCAGGATGAGCATGGAATAAAACCTCCTATCCTGTCCCTCCCCAGCCCTGGTGCTGGGTGAGCCCCAGGGCAGGAGCTGCCCATGCCCTGGGTGTCACAGGTGTCACAACAGCCTCCTGCTCCCTGACCCTGTCCTGGGAATTTCTCAGCCTGAGAGCAATCTCCTGCCCATCACAGAGGGAGGGAGCAGCAAGACACACCTGGGAATGGTTTCACAGAGCACTACAGCCTTTGCTTTCCCACCATCATACTCCTCAGGGTGCTCCAAGGCTGTGCAGTCCCTCCCAGTCCTTCTTCCAGAGGTTTTGAGTCCAGTTTGAGTTCTGCTGCACAAAAGCTCATTGATGGCTGAGGTCTGGGCCCATTGTTGGCTCCAACAAAAGTTCCTTTTCTCTCCCAGATCCTGCCTGGTGCCTGGGGAGGAAGCAGGCCCACGTGAGGCCGGTGCTAACACATTCCTTCGGGTTCCCAGGCAGTTTGCAGTCAGATGATCTCCCAGGCTGGGCTGGTTTTTCAGTCTGTAAGGAGCTTTGAAGGTTCCTGCTGGCAGCAGGCCCAGCACGAGGTCTCCCTTGGGTAGGATGACATCCCACAGTGCTGCCCGTGGTGCTCCAAGCCCTGTCACCCTGATGGGTAACACCTTGGGACACGTTTTGCTCTGCTTGCAGACAACCACGACATCATTTCTCTTAAGCTGTACCAGCTAACAGTGGAACGGACACCGGAGGAGGAGAAGAGGGACAGGGAGGTGTACCTGCCTGTTGTGGACAACCTGAAGCTGCCAGGAAGTGAGTGGGAGCTTCCAGCTTTATGCTGGGGCAGGTGGGACCAGCAGGGATTTGGGGAGACTTGGATCTGTGGAGGATGAACGAAGGAACCTGATTTTGGGGACACGTCCATCACGCTGGGATGGGTGGGAGTTGGGATGTGTGAAGGAGAGGGATCATCTCCCCATCCCAAATCCCGCCCTATGACCCTTGTGTGGGGCCTTGGGGCTGCAGTGCTGGTCTTGAGTTGAGCCCAAGAGCTCTGGGGAGCTGAATGCTGTGGGGTGAGCCCTGCTGGGGGTTTGGGGTGGTTTTGGGGTGCTGAGCTCTCTGGGCACTCACAGGCTGTTTCCCTCCCTCCTCTCCCATGCAGTGGAAGCACCACTGGAGCCCATGAGTGGCCTTGCTCTCTTCTTGATCGTCTTCTTCTCCCTCGTCGCCATCGTCTTCGCCATCGTCATCGGAATCATCATCTACAACAAGTGGCAGGAGCAGAGCCGGAAACATTTCTATTGACTTGGGGAAACCCCAGGATGGTCCTTTGCTGGGCATTGCCAGCCACATCCCAACTCCCACCCATCCCAGCCTGGCCAGAGCGTGGTGGACTGACTGACCCTCGGGGCAGGGACCCTCGTGTGCCCCCAGAATCCCAGCAGGGATGGCTGCTGGTCCCTAAGGGCTCCAGAGCTGCTCTGGGTGGGAATGGAGATCTGTGCCATGAGCTGTTGTCCCCCGAGGGGACCGTGCTGGGGAAGGGCTCAGGAGGGCTGTGCCTCGGGAAGGAGTTGGCACTGGGACATCCCACCGCGGCTGAGGGATGCCAGGATT